CTCCGTTAAGCGTAAGCCAAATCATAATTGGGGAACTTACATTGAATAATGGGGCTGTGCTGTGGAGGTGCATCTTCATTTAACAGCCAGGATTAAGTAAATAAAATAATAATAACAACCATAATAATAATAAACAGATACGGTAAAGTTGGGACTGAACCAGAAAGAAAGATTTTTTTAACTTAAAAAAGTTTGGTGTAAGAAGATGAAGTGGATGAATGGTGAATTAGAGCACGTGGGTATTTGACTTGGTAAAGTGAATAAATAAGATGGTCGGCCGCCATATATGACTTGGAGGCAAAAATCTAACTCCGCGTAGGAGAAGTAGATGATGATGCGATCCCACTCATCATGGTCTCCCCGCTTTTGACTTTTCTGTCACATCAAATGCTCTAATTTAAGATTTCTTTTTTTCTTTTTTTAAAAGCAATTACCTAAGTTGAGATTTTGGGATTTGGTAGGTAAATATCAAATCTCTAGTGATTATTATTTTTTTTATTTTGTTGGTTAATAAAAAATAATTTTTTATTTTTTATTTTATTTATTTATATATTATGTAATTTAAAATTAATATTTTTTATTTTTAATAAAAAATTATCAATAAATTATTTAGATAATTAATCATTAATTTTTTTTTAACACAAGCCTATAAAAAAAATTTAGCACAAGAAACATCAAGAAAAAAATTTAGCACGAGAACAAAGAACATATAATATATGTAGGTCTAATTGAAAATTAACATTGTAGAAAATTTATTGATGAACAAATAGAACATTAAAGATTGAGCATAACACATTAAACATAACAACATTAGCCCTTCTCTCCCGTTGTTCATTATTTTTTTTAACACAAATAATAAGAATAATTTTAGTGCTATTATAACGGATAAAATTTTAATAAATATCAAAAATTTAATACATTGGAATCAATCAAGGCAGTCAAAACTACACATGTACCTCCGTTGCTTATTTAATTAGTGAAAAAGAGAAAATTAGTATTCTTCGGAATCGGAACTGATGTTTCGATCAAGCGGCTGCCCTGGGCCTATCAGTGGCAGTAGCATTTCCCCCCGGAAATGGATGCAATTAGTTGGGCAAGGAAATTTGGTATTCGCTGCAAATGTATACATATGTTAACCACAATAACAACTAATAATGATAAATTAATAAATTTAATAACATAACTAGAGATTTATGTTTAACAATTGTGATTCTAAAAAAATTTAAAGTTTTATAGGTTACTTATTTGTTTGAGTGGAAATAACTCAATTTTTTTTAAATAAAATTTCAAGTTTAAGTAAAAAAATAAGTGTTGAGGGAGAGCTTCTTTCATATAGAATCACAGAAATTAATTTCGAATTAATTAAAACTTAATGTGATTTTTGGATAACGAAAGGTAAATAAAAAAAATTTTAAGTTTTAATTTATATTTAAAAATTAAAGTTTTAATTTAAAATTTAAATATTTATCTTATTAAATGTTGATATTTAAATTTAAAAATCAATTATATATTATAACATAATTAATTTTTAAATCTAAATATTAATATTTAATAAAATAAATTTATAGAATTTTAAATTAATATTTAATTAAATAAAATGACATATTTTTAAATTAAAATTTTAATTTATTTTAAAAATCGAATGACATATACTTTTTTCATAAAACTAACGAACTAAAATAATGTAATGTGCTATATATATATAAAAAAAAAAGTATTGTATACGTATTACGTACAGCACTCTCAAATGAAATTTTATAAATTTCATACCGAAAGAAGCGGTAAATGCAGAATTGGGCGACACATCCTTCAACTGTAGAAGAATGAAAAACAAATCATCAGTATCAAAATTAATTACGGGAGACCCAAACTAAAGTGTTAATTTTTTTCTTCTAAATATTAAATTTTAATTCTCATAAATTTTCTAAGTTTATTTGAATTAAAGGAATGTTTTAACTTCCTTGCAGCTATGAATGTTAAGCTTATTTCAGCTTGTACATCTCCCATCCCCTGCCAAATTAAAACGTTAATTTACAGAGTAAATATATATGAGTCAAATTATTGAAGAGATTAATTAACGTTTTGAAACATAAAAATTAATGATATTACTTGGGCTAAAACTATGACTCCCACCAAACAGAAAATAAGCAAGACAAGTCGGAGAAAAGATTTCAGCATCGTCATTTAATTACTGCTTAGTTACACAATAATCCTCTTTGTGTTGTGCATAGAAGGATCAAAAGCCATGCAGATTTATACGAGCAAATTTGCAACATAAAATGGATTTTTTATTTAATCAATAGAAAAAATAATTTATTAGTAACGCACAAAAAGTACTTCAAATCCATTACATCAACAAATATTAATACATCAGCTTGATCAATCCTCAAAATATATATAACACTAGCAAATCTACTCTTTGGTCTACGAGATAATTGTTGCACAGTTATAAGATTATATTTCCATTCATAATATCAATATGAAAACCCTTAACCCTTCTTTTTAAACCACAAGAATGATCTTCCTTGAAACACAAAATGGTAGTAATAAATTATTTATACGAGGCAAATTAATTTTTTTAGTTTGTTAACTAGGGCACTATTTTTTATGATATCAAAATGAATTATTATTTATTCATCAAAAAAGAGAAAATATGATCCCCACGTTTTGCCCTAATACCTTAATTCATGGGCTAGTGCATACCACTTTTTATCGAGGCAAAATACCCAAATTTACTTCTAAAGTATAGTGGTAGAGATGGATCCCCTCTCGAATAAAAAATGGAGACAAATTCACCCACAAAGTTTTCGACTTGAACAAATCACTTCAAATTTAACATATGACATCATTTGACATCAGTAATATGTTAATTTAACGTCATTTGATGTCAACAATCCGTTAATGAATTAACAAATCGTTGATGTCAAATGACATCACACGTTAAATTTGGGGTGATTTGTCCAAATCAAAAATTTTATAGATGGATTTGTCCTCACTTTTTGTTCGGAGGTAGATCTGTCTTTGTCACTGTACTTTGGGAGTGAATTTGAGTATTTTACCTTTTATAGATTGCATGTTTAAGTTATACGGATCCTTTTATTTATTTATTTAATAAGTATTAATTTTCTTCCATTAAAAAAAAAAAGAGAAAATATATTATTTATATGAGTAGTATTATTTTCCAATATACTCAAAGTAAATGTCCAACTATACTTTCCTCCATTTAAAAAAAAAAATATATATATATATATATATATTGGGTATATATTGGTAGTATGGTATAATACTATAATTTAACCTCAATACTTGCTATATCGAGAATGGTCACTCGAATGCAAAGTCCAGTTAAGATCGACAAGATATGGTAGTGGATTTTTATTTTTTTATTTTTTGATATTAGTTGCACGACATGAGACAATTCTATTTCAATTTTTATTTCACCTAACTCACATGTCATATGATTCAAAATTTAAAATTTTTTATTTTTAACAAAAAAAAAATATCACTGAATTATTTAGATCGTTGTAATGATTATATATTTCAAAAAGAAAAAATTTATATATATTGATAGTTTTAGTAATAAGAAAAATGATTCACATTACAATATTAATATTTTACAATAAAATTTCACAATTTTATTATTAGTACTCCTTATTATAATTGCTACAGCCCTAAAGGCTTTGGCTCCATTTCTCTTCCTTAAAAGTTGTAACTGTCTTTGCTTTAAGAAAAGCAAAAGAGATGTAAAGTGAGATTTAAAGTTTTTGATTAATTAAATTATAATATTACTTGATATTATAATTTGATCGATTAATAAAAAATTATTTCTCTCATTTATTTCATTTTTTTAAAACAAAACATACTATAAAAAAATTTTTTTTTAGTGCCCTAAATGATGCCTCAATATATTGTTATATCATGTTTAGATAGAAAGAAAAGAAAAGAAAAAAAAGGAAAAGAAAGGATGTTCAACCATTTAAGTGAACACTGAGATTTGGAATATCTTAGATTGGCATTTATCATTAGAGAATTGGAAGATCAAATTATTTTCCACTTAAATTGCAATTATTAACAAGTAAATTTCCATCTACATCTCCACTATTTATTTAGGTGTTCTAACTGCTTTCCCAGGGATGGGGAGAGATTGCTCTCTCTAGGAAAGTGCCCTCCTGTTAGGGTTTTCCGCTGTTGATCCTGCTGGATTTTCCTATCTCCATGATCACTATCTGCTCTCAAAACATAACATTTATAAAAGGATTTTTTTTATTTGTGCGTTAAAAGTATAATAAATACACATTTTCATAATTAATTTTTATTAAAAATATAAATTTTAATTTTAATTTAATTAATTAATTAAAATTATCCATATATCGAATATATCGATAATATTAAAATATATGTTAATTTTTATAATTTTTAATGTAAATTAATTATAAAGTATACATATATATATTTATTGTACCCTTAATTTCTACCTTACAAACCCAATCTAAAAATAGTCACCTAATCTCCTCAGATAATCACCCACCCTTCTTGCTTATGAGAATCGCACCATCTCCAGGTGTTCTCTTCTCGATCACCTCAATCGCTGATAATTAAAATCACCATACAAAACTCCCAAAAACTTCCAGTTCTTGGGTATCTTTGTCACCACCATATCATGTCTACTTAATCATCTCTACTGCACTCTTTCAAAACTAGAACCCTATAATCAATTCAAATTTCCTGTTAATCCCTCTTGATTTTGGCACGAACTTTTGTCAACCGGTAAAGATCTCAATTCAGAGGACGCTACAGAGCTTCTCATGGCAATGGGTGGAGAAGATTGATATGGTACGCGAGGGGGAAGCTCTGGTGGGCTGGCAGCCAAATTTTGTTGCGTTATGTTAAGTTTGGTGCTAGTGTCTGTTATGCTGTTTCTTTACTAAGAGAAAGGTTGGTGCAAGTTTGGAGATGGTACTATGGTGTAGGCTGGTGGAGAGAAGTAGGGCTATGGAAGGGTTTTTCTCTCCATTTAATGGCGCTGACTCTGCTCTTAGGTTGTTAGGCAGTGCTGCTTCTCCAAGCACTGCCAAAATCATCATCAAACCCCAATCTTCTTCGTTGGTGTTCCATGGCAAGAGGTAGTTGGTTCAGGCAAGTTGCTCATCTATTCAGGATTTGCAGTTGTGAGACCTAGGCCCCATCTCTTGTCTCTCTTCTTCACTGTTTGAAGAGTGGAGCAATGACCAAGCTTTTGATAAGCTTCTCTGTGGGGCATGTGCCGCTGACATCCTTTTTGGTGTTTGCTTCCCTGCACATTTCCTGTGTGTTGTTTTTGGTGTCTTGCTATTATGTTCTTGTGTTTATGTTCGTAGTGGTGTGAATCCTCTTACTTGCTTGGTCTGTAATAACTTTTGTGTAAAACTTTGTTTTCCACTTTTAATAGAAATATGGTAGTTTTTTTTGGCAAAAAAAGAGAGGAAAAATTCTTTTGTAGTACCTTTACTAAGATTATCTTTTTTATTTAGTGGAGGTGCAATTTGTAATTTTATATAAGTAAAAATGCTCTAACAAAATTCATTATAAGTGTATTAAGAATTTTTATAATGTCTATAATATAACACCCCTTTTTAAATGTAATAGTTAAAATGTTAAATTTTTATTAATATTAATTAGACAAATTACCATAAAATTAAAAAATAGCAATAAAAACTCTCTTTACACAATTTTCTTAATATTTCTTTCATCATTAGACATGAATGTACTTTCTTCAATTTCAAAACACTAGATATTTAAAATGTTTTTTTTTTCATGAATTCAGTTGAAATTTTAATTAATTGAAATATTTTACTTTAATTAATGATAAAAAGAACCTTTTTTCGTTTAAAAAGATTAAAAGAAATTTTTTAATTGAATAAATCATGTTAAAAAAATCAACTTTTTGATAATCAAAACTAAAATTTTGAATTAGATTCAATTATTCAAATAAAAATTATTAGTTAAAATAATAAAAGACTAGAGAGAGAGTTTTGCTTATTGTTCTTTTTAAAATTTTTAATATTTATTTAATTAAAATTAATGAGTACTTAATATTTTAATTATTTGCTAAAAAAAGGTATTATATACTTTTTAAAAAATTTTAATACACTTATAAAAGAATTTACTTAGAGTATTTTCACTTATATAAAATTTAAAATTTTACCTTCACTTAATTTTAAGGAAAAGTACGATGAATTCACTACAAAAGAATTTTCCAAACAAATTACGTGTTCGGTTTTTTTTCTTTTTGCCAGTAACATAAATACTAGTAAAATTTGGTTAATCTCGATCCAAAATTTTGTTTTTTGACTCATACCATTCTCTGTTAATTTTTCAAATTTATATTGGGCCTGAAAAGAAGTAACAAGAAAATGAGTCCGAAAGCCCAGGCACAGCTTCTTGAGGGTTGAGAATTTATTGTATATTGAAAAGCCCAACTTCAAAAACCCAATATATTAACAG